TTCAGGTGATCCACCCACCTCAGCCTCCCAAAGCACTGGGATTACAGTCATGAGCCACTGTGCCCACCCACCTGTGTGATTTTAGAAACTGCAGACTCCTGGATTCTACTACCAGAGATTTTTATTCAGTTGGCTAGAATGAGCATCATAATACAATTTTAGTGCACACTCCAGGCAATTCTGATGCACATGGTCATGAAGCCCCACTCTGAGAGTCATGTTTTAGCCACTTGATTTCTAGTAAAGAGGGTATGGCAGGGAAATTTCCTATCTTGGTTATTATTTATTTAGAGACTATCTCACTCTCTCATAAGGCAGCAGTGTGATGGCATGATCACAGCTCACTGTAACCTCCGCCTCCCAAGCTCAAGTGATCCTCCCACCTCAGTCACCTGAGTAGCTAGGACTACAGGTATGCACCACCATGCTAGACTAATTTTTGTATTTTTTGTAAAGACAGGATTTTGTCATGTTACCCAGGCTGGTCTCAAACTCCTGGGCTCAAGCAATCCACCTGCCTTGGCCTCCCAAAGTGCTGGGATTACAGGTGTTGGCAACTGCATCTGGCTCCATCTTGGTTATTCAGAGAGTTTCTTGCCCATGAGCTTTCTCATGTTGAATAAGGGAAGTATCCTAACTGGAAACTTTTCCACATTAACATTCATAGGGCTTCTCTCCAGTATGAACTCTCCAATGCCTGGTAAGTTGACACCGCTGGCTAAAGGCTTGCTCGCAGTGGTCACATTCATAGGGTTTCTCTCCAGTGTGCGTCCTCTCATGTTTACTAAGGGTTGAGCGATCATTGAAGGCTTTCCCACAATCAATGCATTCATAGGGCTTTCCTCCAGGATGCATTCTCTGATGTTTAATGAGTCACTACTGCTGGCTGAAGGCCTTAATACACATCACACTGATAGCTCTTCCCACTGACAGGTGTCCTCTGGTGCATGATGAGGGGAGACCTCTGGCTGAAAGTTTTCCCACAATGACTGCACTCCTAAGGTTTCTCTCCAGTATGTGTCCGCCGATGCACTACAAGCTGAGATCGCTGCCGGAAGGATTTCCCACAGTCACTACATTCGTAGGGTTTCTCTCCAGAATGAATTCTCTGATGGGAAAGAAGGTTAGAGCTCCCTGTAAAGGCTTTCCCACACTGACTGCACTCAAAAGGTTTCTCACCAGTGTGAGTTCTCTGATGCATCACAAGGTAGGAGCTCCTCGCAAAGGCTTTATCACACTGATTGCATTTGTACGGCTTCTCCCCAGTGTGAATTTGCAGATGCCTGATGAGCTGAGTGCTTCGATTGAAGGCTTTTCCACACTGGTTACATTCATAGGGCTTTTCTCCAGTGTGAGTTCTTTTATGTGCAACTAATTGATAGCTTTGGCTGAAGGACTTTCCACAATGAGTGCACTTGTACGGTTTCTCCCCAGTATGAATTCTCTGATGGATGACGAGGTTAGAGTTCCACCTGAAGGATTTCCCACATTCGATACACAGATACGGTTTTTCTCCAGTGTGAATTCGCTGATGCGTAATAAGTTTGGAACTCTGGGAGAAGGATTTCCCACACAGGTTGCACTCATAGGGTTTCTCTCCAGTGTGTGTCCTCTGATGTACGACAAGATCATACTTCTGGCTGAAAGATTTCCCACACTGAGTACATCTGAAGGGCTTTTCTCCAGTGTGGGTTCTTGTATGTGTAACTAACTCATAGCTTTGGCTGAAGGACTTTCCACAGTGAGTGCACTCGTACGGTTTCTCTCCAGTATGAATTCTCTGATGTACAATGAGGTTAGAGTTCCACCTGAAGGATTTTCCACATTCAACACACTGATACGGTTTTTCTCCAGTGTGAATTCGCTGATGCGTAATAAGTTTGGATCGCTGGGTGAAGGATTTCCCACACAGGTCGCACTCATAGGGCTTCTCTCCAGTGTGTGTCCTCTGATGTACGACAAGGTCATAGCTCTGACTAAAAGATTTCCCACAATGAGTACATTCGAAGGGCTTTTCTCCAGTTTGTGTTCTCTGGTATATGCGCTTACAACAACAGCTGAAAGAGTTTCCACACTGATTACACACAGATGACTTCTCTGCAGTCTGAATGATGTTACAGTCAGAAAAAGATGAGGCCACAGGGAAGGCAGCGCAGCCATCCTCACCTCTGAAGGGGGTCCCTCCAGGGTCACTTCTTTCTGTTTGTACAAGGCACAGACTCTCAGAACAGGCTTCTCTGC